TAGCATATGTCGCTGGTGTTAGAAGAATTGGGTTCTTTTGTAGAAATAACTAACGAGTCATAGGTAGTAGAAAAAGAATTGTTTTAATTTACTATTTTCACTGAAGTAAATACATAGTGGTTGATTCACTTATCTTCACTAAACAGTTTTAAATATTTACAATTTTAGTTCATCACAATTTGATTAACTAATACAGTTGATTTTTTAGTTACCAACTTGAAAACATTTGTTTGTAGAATTTCTTATGCCATAACAATTGTAGAAGATATAACTTTCACCAGAAGATAAAATGCATTAAATGCTTGTAAAAATGTCGAAAGTAACGTCAAAGACAACTGTGAGCTATGATGGCAAAAAGACAACTGAACTCGATGGCAATAAGACAACTACTGAATGATGGCAAACATACAACTGAACTGCTCGCGTCGAGCGCACCTTAATATATACTGTTGGGACGAACTGAGTGTCCGGGGCATAGTTCACGCACCTATTCGGTTTCAACCAATGAAAACATCATGACATAATGAAATACGTCATTTGTGCTTCGTTCACTATGCGCCGGACACTCATTTTGTTCCAATGCACCGCTGTGCACTTGAAAACACAGGTGTTCGACGTTCGGTATTCTGAGAAAAATGCTATTTATAGTTTTATGACTTCACATTATATTAGGGTAATAAGCAGTCGAACTATTGGAGAATTGTTTATTTATTTAGTAGGTGTAAAATATTAATTTGTTGATGTTTTTACTGGTGAAATTGTAGAATTTAACCAGGTATAGTTTAACGTGATCTCCTTTTTTATAGTTATAATTATGAATTTTCCGATGGTAATCAGATAAACTGAAATTGCTTTCCACGTTAAAATTTATTTCAATTGGGGGATGGTACATATCAATATTAACTAAAGAGTCAGAGGAAGCGGTTACTACCGATTGTGTTAGATTGCTTAAAACTAGGTCTTGTGTATTATTGTTTTTATTTAGTACATTATTTGAATCGCTTATTTGAGAAACCCAATAAGTCCCAAAATCATGTTTTGAGAAAAAAAAACTGTTTATTTACCTCAAATTTTAAAACTGAGTTGAGTAATGTTATAGTATCGTTTTAGACTCCCTTTAAAGTTGTACTTATGTTTATTAATCAAATTGAAATAAAAACTAATTATTTTTCCAAAAAAATAAAATGGACATGTTGCGTTTCTCAATTAAAATAGTAACTATCGGGAAAATAAATAAACATATACCCGGTATTGAGTTTAGAACTGTATATTATCAAAAATAAGAGAACATTAAATTAAAAAACTAAACAGAAATATCTAAACATCATCCGCTGCAGGTTCACCATTATTCACTGGCCAGGAAAATATTTCCTTGTAAAATCTTCCGATTTCTTGATAATCCATCTGTAGGTAAGGTCGAAATTTCTTAATGTTGTCCAGATTCTTCTTTTTAATCGGAATTTTCATGTCTGGATAAGCAGGAATAGGTGCTATTTCAGTCAGCCGGGCTCTTCGGGATAATATGGGAAAACAGTGGGATACCAATGCATCGATAAAAGGCCTTGCTACTACACATCCTGGTCGCTCTCTGCTATGTGTGAAATGCATTAATGAAGCAATGCCAAGCGGTACTTTATTAGAATTTCTATCGTTAGAATTTGTTATAGCAAAACAATTTTTCTTGTAGTAGCTTGGCCACCACAGTTTGAAGTCTCTGTTGTCTTCCATTAGAAATACGGTAAACTTATGTTGGTGACTGGATGTTATAATAAGTTCGACATACTCTTTTAGGGTGTAAATCCTGTCGGTGTTTTTGATGTTGCGCTTGATTACAGCAAAATCCCTATCGCAGGGCATATAAGAGGGCCCTCTTATAGGAAAATATTGATTGACTGATTCGAATCGACCGGTGTCCACAAGAGCGGCACACATTCTTATGAGGCAATGGTTCTTGTTTTGGCCTCCACATCCATTGGAAAAAATCTGCAAATGTCTGACGTTCTTTGATATGTTGGTTTTAACATAGTTCATAATGAAGGAACAAATTTCGTTTGGTCCTTTTTTTCCCAGACCTTCATGATATACGTACAAAACTGCCTTACCAGTTTTCAAATCATGTATATCAAACACATTGACCGTAAGTTGGTGCAAATAAAACGTTTCTTGAACTGGTATCTGTGGAAGAAATAAGTTTTGCATGTAGTCTATACAAATGGAGGCAGTAGTGGGATCATTTTGCAACTTTTCTTTAATTTCTTTCATTTTAACGAAAAACTTTTTGGCTCGTCTCAGATGCACCATTTTCTCTGCAACTGCAACTCTTTTAGCAGTGTCGTTTAACGTATTTGATTTAATTTTTACTTCTAACTCCTCACATTTACAGCAGGTGTCAACTTGCGGCCTTCCAAAGGATAGACTAAATTTTTCTTTAAAAATTTTGTAGTAAAAAGAATATTTCACCTTTATATTTGGATAGAGTTCTTCAAACATTCTGTGCATTTTATAAATATTTAGTTTCTCATCCAGGTATTGTTTCTCTTCTGTTGCATAATGCGTATTTTTGGTGGGAAAGGACTTAATGTGATCGGTTATTAGGGTAACAATCCCTATGGACTTAGAGTTTCCAGGAGCTTGCCTGCCTCTCATATCTTGTGGTGATTTTCCAACAGATAAGAGACGACATAAACGATACACCCTGTCATTCGTTATAGCATGCAAGCTTAGAAATGCTTGCTTACACACTTCTATTTTTTTTATGCTCGTTGAAACGGAATATTTATAAACTGTGCTATGCGGTTTTTTAGAAACATCGCCTCTTGCTCTTGAACGTTTACGTTGAACAGGAATTAAATGTATAAGAGCTTGAAGGTAAGCGTCTTGTTCACTTTTTGTACTAAACGAATAGAATTTTACAAAAATTTCATTTCTTTCCTCATCTGTAAGCTGATCAAAGCAATTCTTTTTGCATTTGAAGTATAAAAAAGCAAATTAGTTACATGAAAAGATAAAAGTAAGGTTAGAAAAACTTACTTGCAAGGCTGTCCAATTTCTTTTTTGGCTATTGACTTTCTTTTATAATTTATATATTGCAGTCCCTCCACTCTTGCTTTTTATATTTTTTCGCACTTGTATGTTACCTGTTTAAGGCCTTTTTTACGTTTTGGATTCACTACTAGTACATTTTCACAAATTACTGTCACCATGTTTATTTAACTAGGTATTTACTTTGAAACAATATAACGACACAATTTACCAAATTATATTTGAGAAACCCAATAGATCCAGTACTTATAGGGTTTCTCAAATAAACGTAATATTTAAATGCTTAAAACACCGTACAAACGACTGATATATGTTGGGTTTATAAATTAAAAAGATGAAATATGACACAAACATTTGATTTCTGTCAAAATGTCAAAACTGATATTTTGGACATATTGGGTTTATCAAATAAGCGATTCATTTAATGAATAAACATCATATTTGGACATTATTTTATGTATAGTTTGTATTTTTGAGATTCTTTTGAGAATGAAAAAGCTGTTCCATCAATTTCAGCTATATTAAAATCACCTATTATGAAAATATTTTCATTTAAATGTTCATCAACAAGTTCTAACGATTCTAGAAAGTCATCATAAGTTGAAACTTGTGAACCTGACCTAATATATACAGTACAAATCACTATTATAATATTACTATTACTTCACTATCGAAACCAAATTAATTTTCATGCGCCCCCGCTTACGATTGTGGACCCTCATTTTTTATTACGCCCTACGTAAACCCCCGTCCAGTCTCCCATGGACCCCTGGGGGTCCACCTGGAGCACTTTGGGAAATACTGGACTAAATAAAGTGTCATGAACCAAAAATATTGCGACCCGTGTAAAATTAGTCTACTCCCATATAAAATCATCTGAACATGATTCTTGTGAGACTCCAATTTGTTGAGTTAAAGATAATTAATTAACTATTACAATAGATATTCTGATTCAATAATTATCACGGTCAAAGGCAACGGCCGTGTTCAGTGACAGAGTTATATACTATTTATACCATTACGTCGCACCGCCAGGGTTGCCAGATCGGTCAGCTGAAATTCCCCAATCGAAGTTCTAAAATCCCCTGAATTTCGGCCTTTTGAAAAAAAAAATCCCCAAAATTTTTTTTGTCTGTTTCCTGATATTTTCGAATAAATTAGAAATTATTTTTTTATACAAATAATTTTTACGCATGCGCAAAACATGTAGTGCATCACAATAAAATTACATTCCTGAAGTTTATTTAATGCCAAACGAAGCATAATAAGTTAAGGAGATCCACAAGTTTTATTTGATGATCCCTCATATTTTGTCTCCTATATACTATATATAGGTACCTACATAAAAATATAATAAAAATAAGAAGATACTTGATAAGATATAATAATACTTATAAGAATTATGATTAATTATTAATTTCGGCAAATATATTCAATATAGCTTCATTTTCTTCTCGATTTTCCTTATTAGTATTATACATATTAGCATTAAATTTGTTTAACATATTTTCACTTGGCACAAAACTGATACTACCACTGTTCATAAGATGGAACCGCAGTCTAATTATGGAATCTGCACTACTAATTGCTAGTCGGTTTCGCAACTTCTCTTTAATCAGATTTGCAAGTGAAAATGCTCTTTCCACAGCAGCATTGGAAAATGGTAGCGAAAGAAGAGCTAGTGCTAATTTAGATATCCTTTCAAACCGATTTTCATCCAAGGCATTTTTGTTTTCGGACACTTCAACCCAAAAAGATTCAGCTGTTTCTGGATGCTCCCATTCTACTCGATGAAGAGCATTCCATTCACTGACAGTAGCATCAACATCCTCATTGATTAATGACTTAAAGCTGGTAGCTAAAGTTGTAATATCAGGTCTTCTAACTTGGCTCGTCGCGTTTTCAGGAGTTAACAAGTTTATTTTTTCGAGAACTTCAATGTTGGACGGTAATCGAGGTTAAATTTGGTAACAAAGTTCAATTAAAAAATTTCTACACCTTTCTTGGACGCAGGATACATCGTTCCTCTCTATTCCCACTTGTGCTTCATGAAATGAGTAACCAAAATTGATAATGGTTGCGCTCATGACGTAGTCCTTGAAATTGAAAGAAAATATGTCTTTATCAAGAACTTTTTCAAGACGCATTGGAGGTATAAGAATACTTAAGTAATTCCTGAGCAAGTGCAGGAGGTCTTCCATTAATTTTAGAGAATTAGCTTGGTCACTTTGGAAAGCTGTATTAAGGGCAGTTAGTTCTCTCAGAGTTTTCTTCAGAAAAACCATGTACAGATAATTTTTTTTATCATCTAACATCTCAAAAAGTTGTTGTGATGTATAGCATCTTTCTCTATCTTTGGTTAGCTGAAAGTGCAGTTTTAGAACATCCCACTGATCTAATATTTTATTTATGGCATTAAAACGTGCCAACCATCTAGTTCCACTTAATTTATCAATTTTTGTTGGCGCTGCTTCATTCATTACTTCATACAATTTTTTATATTCAATCTGACGCTTAGAACTGCAACTAAACCAGTTGTGAGAACCAGTTTTTGTCGAAAAATATACTATCGTCAGCAGATATGATAGAAGTAATACAGACCATGGTGGAACTCTAATTTTATCCTTAGACAAGGACTTTTCTGCTGTATCTAAATACGACTTTCTACAAGCTGAAAATTTCTTCGAATTTTCCATTGTAAACAACAAAAACATTGATTTGTTTATTATTTGTATTTATAAATCAAATGTTCACCTCTTTCTAGAGAATCTTCTTAATCTACTTGACGCATTGCCTATAAAAAGTAAGACAATTTTATGCGGCGATTTTAATATTGACTTTGCTAATGTATGTGCTACTCAAAAGTCTTTGATCAATATTTTTGAATCATTCAGTCTCACTATGCACGTAAATTCTCCAACTAGAATCACAGAAACAACATCTACAATTATAGATTACGTAGTCTCTGATTTTAAACCCGTTGATGTAGAGCACCAAGTAATTAGCTCAGGTCTCTCAGACCACGAAGCAGTATTTGCCAAATTTTTGATACCCCGTACAGCTCCAAAAAAAGTCCGTCAGCTAGGTAGAAATTTCTCTAAGCATAATTTCAAAAATTTCTATAATTTATGTCTAACTACTGATTGGAATGGTCTTTCTGAAGATATTGACTCTAAATTTTTAGACTTCTTAAATAAAATAATTATGTGTTTCAATACAGCTTTCCCCCTTCGCCCCATTAAAACTAAATGTCATAAATCTTGGACAACTAAAGGAATAAGAACATCATCTAAAAATATGAGGTCACTCATGTATATTAAAAAGTACACAGATAATCCCCTAATATTAAACTATATCAACAACTACAGAATATTGTATCGGAAAATCACCAAATCTGTTAAGAAAAACTATTACAAAAATCGCATCGCAAGAGCTAAAAACTCCTCCAAAGAAACCTAGTCTATAATAAATGACTTAAGAATTAAACCCGTTCTTCAAACAGTGTAAATCCTAGCCCAGATGAACTAAACAATTATTTCGTAAATGTAAGTAAAAATATCAAATCTAACATAGCTCCGAGTCAGGATGCTCTCTCCTTCCTCCTACCTACTAAAAGGATCACTGAAAGTTTCTTCCTAAGACCAGTAGACAAGCATGAACTAGTGCAAACCATAAACAACATCCAACATAAATTTTCCTGTGGAATTGATGGCCTGTCCACCAAAATATTTCTAAATATACCGGATGTAGTAATCAACATTTTAACTTCACTTATTAATGAATCCTTTGAAATTGGTCTCTTTCCTAACTGTCTAAAAACAGCTATAATAATCCCACTTCATAAAGGTGGCGACAAAACCAAAACCTGTAACTATAAACCTATCGCGTTATTGCCTACCTTATCGAAGATAGTAGAACGGCTAATGAAAAACCGTCTTTTGCCCTTTCTTTTCAAGCATAACATCCTCACAGCTCATCAGTATGGCTTTCTACCTAAAAAATGCACTAGCGACGCAATGTTTTCCGTTCTTAATGAAATATACACATCACTTAATGATAAACTTTTCACCGCTTCAGTATTTTGTGACTTCGCAAAGGCCTTCGATTGTGTAAATCATGATATTTTAATTAATAAGTTACAAATTTATGTCATACGGGGTTCTCCTTTACAATGGTTTAAAACTTACCTAGAAAATAGAAATCAACAGGTGCGGGCGAATGGTGAGGATTCTACAAATCTAGCAATAAGCAGTGGAGTACCTCAAGGATCAGTATTAGGTCCAATTTTGTTTTTATTATTCATCAACGACATCACAGACTTAAGAATAAGTGGTAGAATTACTTTATTTGCTGATGACACCAGTGTAACCTGGAATAATTCTAACATGCAGACATTACAATCTATCATAAGTGAAGATCTAGTGACTATTAAGTCCTGGTCTGATTCGAATGGACTTTGTTTCAACACCAGTAAAACTGTAGCATTCTCTTACAGAGGTACTTTACAACCTATAACTTTAAACAATAATCTGATCCAAACGGTGACTTCAATCAAGTTTTTAGGTCTTTATATAGACGATTCTCTAAAATGGTCTGCTCATATAGATACCTTAGCAAAAAAATTATCCTCCGCATGTTTTGCCATTAAATCGGTTTCTAAAGAGCTGACTCCTTCTACTGCATTAATAACCTACTTCTCCTTATTCGAATCTCACCTTCGCTATGGTTTACCTTTCTGGGGTTCTTGTAGCTTATACCTTTTCGAATCTATTTTTAAACTGCAAAAAAGAGCAATCCGCTATGTATTTGGTTTAAGTAGTAGGACACATTGCGAAAATTACTTCAAAAATTTCAAAATTCTAACCCTTCCTGCTCTATTTATTTTCGAATCCGTCTGCTTAGTTCGCAAGCACATTCAAAATTTATCCGAAAGACCGACTCGTAGATATCCTACAAGAAATTTAGAGACTGATGTTTATTTAACAATGCCCACTTCTGACCTATTAAAACATTCCATTACCTACAATGCCAAAAAATTGTATAATAACCTTCCGATGCAATTAAAATCTATAAATACATACGATAAGTTCCGAAGACTGGCTAAAGCTTTTCTTCTAGAAAGACCATATTACACAGTAGCAGAATTTTATAACGTACCTTAGACATTTGAGTTCCACATACAATGGCATTAATTAAATAATTAAATATTAAAGTTTAAATTTAAATTTAAATTTAAAAATTAAATTAGAATAATTATAATGACGGATATTGCATATCCATTGCAATTGTTATTCCTATTTTGTCTGTTTGTTTCTGTTTGTTTTTTCTGCTGTTTAGTTATTTTTATAATATGTTTAGTATTTAAGTTACACGCTTGGTCTATAAAATTTTTTTACGACAATAAAGCATATCTCTCTCTCTCTTTTATTAAAAAATCTAAATGTTTGGGAAGTGATTTAAAAGAATGCTCAGCAGCCAAGTGGAGAGAGTGACAAACACATTTAATTACCACTAAATCTCGATTTGTCATAGCTTTTCCAACCATGACATTAGCACCGTCTACGCCAATCCCAATTAAGTTTTCCATTGGGAGACTGTCTTTAAGAAGTTGACTCCTCATTGTTTCAGCTAATGTCAAAGCATCTCCTGCGGCAATTTCCATTAATCTGTAAAAGGTCGTAATTATTTTTCTTTTGAGTTTGCTATAATATTTAATCATAAGACACATCATTTTGCTACAGTCAATGGCCGTGCTTTCATCAATTATCAGAGAATATTTTTCATTTCCAACATCAAGGATTAAATCTTCCAACAAGCATGGACTAATAACATTTAAGATTAAGGCTGAACATTTCGTTCGATGAAGTTTTACTCCCTTGAGTAATTCGGAATTATCATCTAAACCATTAAGTAATTCACTTAAATGATCTGCCGTTCTTGTAGAACAATGCTCCGCAATAAAAGCAGCTACTTTCAATTCTGCGACTTTTCTTTTCTTTGAAATATTAGTCGTCAAAAACTCAGTAATTTTTTTGCTGGGACCAGCGTTATATTTTTTCTCAGACTCAAGATGTTTTCTTGATTTTCTGTGTAACAAAAGATCTTTCTTATGTGCAATTAATGAACACTTGCAAACTTTACAAAAATCCCTTTTATCGTCTTCAGGGTCCGGCATAAGGCATCCTATTAAAAATATACTATAATTGGTATACGAATATTAAACCGAAGATAAAACTTACCCTTTAATTCACTATTTTGCTCCCAAACACTTCTGTACTTATTCGCCATTATTTTTATTATATACAACTCAACTCAACTCGTTGACAAACGCTAAATGTGAATCGGGGAATACCGGTCCCGAGAGGGGGTTCTCATATCAACGTCTTTCAAGACAAATTATGCGGTCGGTAGGGTAGGCTTCGCTATACCGCTAGTGTATTATTTTAACTCGGCAAAAATAGATGGCTCTGCTTGTACAATGCAATAATAAATAAGCCATATATTTTTTGTTATTTATAATGTCATAATATTATTTTAAAAACCCCTGTTATCCCCAACGCAATAGTTTTTCCCCAGAAGAATCTCCTAGAAAACAAAAACCCCAAAAAATCCCCAAGAAGTTGAAAAATCCCCTAATTTTTGGGGAAATCCCCTAACCTGGCAACCCTGCACACCGCGCTGATTCAGCTTTTCTTGCTTTGTTGCCAGATTGAAGCTTTGCTGGCCCAATTTAATATTTTCATGTTTTGGCATTTTATGAGGCCCCCTAAATATGAGGCCCTAGGCTAGCGCCTAGTGCGCCTAGTGGTAAAATCAGCCCTGAGAACAGGAACAAATAATAGTTTGTGGTTACAAAAGTAAATAAAATATAAGGTAATTATTTCAATTGGATTTATTTCTACAGGTTTAAATGGGTTATTTAAATTTTTTGCATCATAAATTTTTAAAACGGAAACTCTAAAACAGCTTATATAATGATAAAATAAAGTGCATCAAAAAATTGTTTAGGGCAATTTTTTCTAACTTAATATCTACTACTAAAACAATTGCTTTTAATTCAATTATATCATGATATTTGACTGTCAAAAGTTAAAAGCGCCATTTGATAATCTCTACTAAATGCCACAAACGATTTAAATCCTCTTATACCGTTAACATATTCAATGGGCCATGTTCACATGTGAGGTATGCTGTTTTATAAATTATATTGTAATAGTTAGTCGCTATACAAGTTATTCTAAATAATCAGTTCGTTAAAAAAGCCAAAAGTTTTTAAATTAAGCCCAATTGAAATTTAAAATTTGAAATGTATCCGTCATCGGGAATAGACCAATCAGCTTGTGTCGAAGTTTTTTTTGTTATACGAAACCAAGCCAACGAACAAACCGACACATAGAATGTCGAAGTGAACGCACATCTTAGTGACACTTAAAAATTGACACTACCTAGACCACATAACCTAACATAACATTCGTTGTTGTTGTTATTTCTTCTATCTTTGCGAATTGGTTTAATTTTATTATTAATATGAAATTGTTAGCTGGATTTATAAAAGCTGATTTAAGTGTTTTACCCATTGCAAACAAAGATGTGACTACTGCATTTTTTTTAACAATACTCAGTTTATAAGTGCCAAACTTAAGCCTGGACAGAAAGGTAGGTAATACCATTGTATAAGTAATACTTTATTTATAAATTAATTGTTTTAATAGTAGTAACATAATATATCAGAGTACACTGATATCCAAATATATAACACTACAAACTGAAACGATATATTTATTCCTTGAAGTAGAGAGCGCGCGCCGTTTAAAAAATTAAAACTAAATAACATCTAAAAATGTATTTAGAAGCGTAGGGTGCAAGTATTTACTGCAATACTCTTTTTATTTGGTCGAAAATTACCTACTTGCTACATATCATTGTAAATAATTTTGTAATTTAAGTACATTTTCATAACTACTTTTTGTAATTGTACATACACTCTTTTACATTTATTGTACACATGTCTAATGTTTACATGGATAAATCTATGATAATATTTCTAAATTGAGATAATAAGAACACAAATATGTTTATGTTTTATGAAATAATTTAGAACACAGAAAAATAATTAAAATTGGTAAAAATATCTGATAATTAGGTCAAATGTTTAGAGTTAGGTTCTTGAAAATACTAAAAAATTAATCACTTAATTAAATAATGTTTTATTTGTAGATCTGCCAAGCAAGAATATGGAGATAATGCCATTTTCCATGTACAACTTAAGAGAGGAGATACTGCACAGTAAAGGGACAAATTACACCTGAACATAAAGTACGGCAAAAACCTTATGATGTGGTTGTTGTAATTAACAAAAATGAAATTTTTAGTGCACAATGATCCTAAGCATCTCAAGGTTTGTAATATTTATTACGCTTTTTTGTTTTTATATAATAATAATAATAATTGTCATTTATTGAACTGAAAATTCAGTCCAATAGGCTATTGACCGAAGTCCTTCTGCCTATTGTTTTTATATCACATAATAAACAATAGGCCCATTATTCCTATAAATATTTTTTTCTAATTTTGACATATAAAATGACATTGTAATCCCAGCAAGTGTTAAAATGATCTAGAAATAGATTTTGTTAGTGAACCTAGTAATAATTTTGATGCTGCAGAGCATCTATGAAATTTTGAGTTAAAATCTATGCCATATTTTTAGACTATTTTTATACCCTTTCAAAAATTGTATGCTCCTCGTTTTCTGCAAAAATCAAAATGCTCTGATAGATTCAAACGAAGTCAGCAGAGCACCTGTTTTTTAAAAGTTTTTTTGTGTAAAAACAGCATATTTTTATGCTCTTATAAATTAAAAAAAAAATGATATTTTTAAAAAATACATGGTGCTTTGTTGGAACAAAGTCAGCAGGACACTTCAGTTTTTTAATTTGTTTTTTTATATATAAAAACAACTAGTTATGACACATGTTTAGGCTATTTTAAAATCCTAACAATGTAAGTATATTTGTTTTCAGAAAAAAAACTTTGAAGTCAGCAAGGAACTGCGAATTTTTTTAAAAATGTCAAATTTTTCAGAATATTTTATAATATTGTAGGAGCCTAAAAACGTGGTGTGGTTAAAAAAAAACTGGAGTGCTCTGATGGATTCGTTTAAAGCTAACAAAGCATCCCCTAATTTTTAATTTTATATTACTCAAGAGCCTAAAATGAGACATAGCTGTTTAAAAAATAAAAACTTGTATTTTTAAAATTTTTTTTTTTTGAAAAGCTATAATATTTCAAAAATCTGAAAATGTGGTGAGATTGTTTTTATAAAAAGTTTTAAAATGCCGAGGTGCTTTACTGGCTTCATTCAGAGCTAGTAAAGCTCTGCTCGTCTTGTTATATAAAATAAGGCATTTTGTAGCTGGTTATATAGTTATTTCGTAACTGCATATCTAACCCTTTTATTTTTTTCAGGCGGTTGTAAACATGTTGTAGCTTTTTTGCTGGCTTCATAGAAGAAGTGAGGAACCATCTGTAACATCTACTGTGTTGTTGGAAAGGGTCTAATTATCAAAATGCCTAAATATTGATGTAGACTTGGCTAGATTGTTAAAGAAACTGCTTTCAAATGTTTAATGGCTAGTTGTTCTTAGGATTTGTGTATATATATTTTTTATTTGTAAATAAAGTGTTTTTTACTTAATTTTTCTTATTTAAGTACTTTTATATTCTTAGGATTTGTATATTTATATTTTTTATTTGTAAATAAAGTTTTTTACTTCATTTTTTTTATTTAAGTACTTTTATTTTTTATTACAAGGTTAATAAGTAAAATTTTCCAATGTTAATAATAATAAATTTGTAATAAATAAAAAATATAACTTAAGTCAATATTATTCTTTCTCCTTTTTTAAAGCTACTATCAATAAAGGTATTACTTTAGCTTAACCTAAGATTAGTTTTTAATTTTGTGCTATATTTGATTTGACAGAGAAAAAATTATAACCCTTTGACATTGGTTGTTTTTACTTAGATTTATGTTTTACTCTCATAATAAGGAATAGCAACATTAAATATTTTTTTTCACATTTATCAATGTTCTCATTTTCGTCTAGGATTGATAAGAAGGCACACTTGCTGGTTTTTTGAAAAAGGTGGAAAGAATTGTGATATTTTTAAATTTATCACCAGTGATACCACATGTAATTACCCGACTTATTGGAATATATAGACTTTGCTACCACATTCAACTGAACTTGGTTGTTTTTGTTAAAATGTTTCATTTTAAACTGCTGTAAATAGGTCCCAAATCTATGCATATACAGGTACTCATTCCACTTTGATTTGCTCGAAAAGTTAAAATTTTATAAAAAAATTACATTGGCTGTTTAAAAACTCTTCATTATAATCTCTGAAATGTGATTAGGTAAATTAAATTAAAAAACAAATAAAAAAAGTTTATTAAATTAATATTTACTCTTACAAAATAGGTTCTTGTAAGTTAACAATACCACAAGCAATTATGCAGATACTAAGTAAATGTACTTGCTTGAAATTCACACAGAAATGTGGTTTTAACATGTGAAATTCCCTAACCCTTCTTATAACTCTTTCCACATGTATTCTTAGAGATGCTATTCTTTTACTTAATTGTACATCTTCTGGAGCACTTTTTTCATTCTGTGATACACTAGGTGGCCTTACTAAAGTGCATCCCATGTTTTTAAGTATTGACTGAATATTCTTAAACCCCCTATCTGCCATTATATGGGATCCAGAAACCAGTTTGTTTAAGTACCCACTTTATAGTATAGTAGTAGTAGTAGTAGTAGTAGTAGTAGTAGTAGAATTTATAGTAGCCTCATTTTGAATATCCTGAAGGAGACAATTAGCAGAAATAGCTGTTACATCTTGAATATCCGATGTATTTTTATTAAAAAGTTGACGAGAAACATCGCTAGTAGCAGGTTGATTTTCTTCTTTCCAAATTACTAGGAACACTAATAAATATTTTTGAAGATGAATGTGAATCATTATCACATTCTGGAACAAAATACTTTTTCGTAGTCATAATATTTATTTATAAAAAGTACAAAATAAACACTCAAATTCCAAATAAATTATTGATCGAGACACTATGACAGATGACATACAGTGCTGCCGTTTTGCCTTTTTCTGAATTATTAAGTGACTTTTAAAACAATGAAACTTTAAATATGGTAAAAGTTTAAACAGAAACAATACTTTCAAAAAACATTTGATATTATATATTTATAAGATATTGTTTAACGATG